AAGGTGCTGGATAACAAAGGAGTATCAGAAGCTGTACAGAAGCTCTGTGGTGTGACAGGACAATCTACAAGGTTGTGGGGACCAGTGTGGGTAACTTTTGAGCTCGTGGGCATAAAGGACAGACAGGAAGTATACTTGGCTGACATTGAAGACGATTGCATATTAGGATTGGACTATCTACTACCAAGGAAGTTTCTAATTAATTTTGATAAAAATGACGTTTGGGAACAACAAAGGCCAAGTTCCAGTAACTGTTAAAAGAGAGGTTGAACTAATTAGGTGTCATGAAGCTGAAGTCAAAGTGACTGAAGGAGTTGATGATGGTGAAATGGAACCAAGTATAGATATTAAAGCAAAGCAGGAGAAAGATCAAGATTCGAAGCCAATAATTAATTTCCAAAAAGCCTTGCTTTAGGCCCTGCTTGGGAGAAGGTGTCTAGTCTAAGCCCTGTGACAAAGAACTATTGGGCACAATGGGACCAGTTGAAGCTTGAAGATGGTATTCTTATCCGGAGATAGGAAAGTGACGACTTGGCAAACAGTTATACCGAGGAAGTTACGGGAAGTCGTGCTGCGTCAATCCCATGATAGTTAAACAGGAGGCCATCTCGGAGTTAAGAAAACAATGAGTCACCTACGACAGAGATTTTACTGGATAGGTATGAGGCAAGATGTGGAAGAATGATGCAGAACATGTTGTGCTAAAAGGGGATCCAAGCATAAGGGACGACCACCTTATGAAGAGTTGCCTGAGAATGTGTCAGAGTTTGTGAAAGTGTTATCGGAAAGGATGGATGATATTCACCATCAAGTGTGCTCAAATCTGAAAACGTCTGCTGATTCGATGAAGTTATCTTATAAGAGATCTACTGAAGTTAGTTTTGTACCAGGAGACAAGGTGTGGTTGTATAATCCCAGGAAGACTAAAGGGTAGTCTTCTCCATGGGAAGGCCCATATGACATAGTGGATCGTCTCTCAGACGTGACTTTGTGGGTAAAATGTGGTCAGCGAGGTAAGCCAAAAATGGTGCATGCCAACAGGCTTTGGCGTTATCACGGTCCAGGACATTTGAGTCGGGATGAAGTGCACAATGGAACAAATTACGCTGCTGAATATGTCACCTGAAAAAGTCACTGTCGAAGAAGAAACTCTACTCGGTTTTGAGAAGGGAAACAGTGAAGCCCATGATGAAGTTACTGCAACTGATGTGACTGTTACCAATGATAGGACGTTTCCTTTTGAAGCAGATGAACCCCTCATGAAGCAGAAGCCAACATGACGGAGACCAGTACGGAAGATGATACGTCTCGTAAAATTAAGAGACTTTGTTGAATTTTAATTTCGTGTTTGTAAATTCTGTACATTTAATTAAGTTATTGTTTATTGGTTTAATATAAGTGGCTATTGTGCGGGACGAACAATACTAAGGATGGGGCAGTGTTACGACAGCAGGGGTCACGTGACGCTAATAACACGTCATATTCTCGAATGTTCACGTCCCTTCCTGAAGTCTCGAGAGATGTGCGGTAGTCTTGTATATATAAGCCGCTAAGAAGTGACGGCAACAATGTGTAATTGACAGTTGAGTCGAGCACGTGAGACGTTCGTTGTGAATTATAGCGTTTGTTATAGCGTGACTGTGGAAATTAAGTGTATTGCAAAGTTGTATTTAGAAAGAATAAACCAGTTTTATTTAAGAAAGGACTTGTATTGCTAAAGTTTCTTCAGAAAGAATTTTTACGGAAAATTAACTAATGACCAGAGACGTAACATTATATTGAATTTGACATAATGGCTTCCTTGTGCAGTCAAGTTATATTTATGATTAGTTGGCATGCCTAATAGAAGAATGGTAAAATTTGATAACTGCCTGATAAGTTTGATTTGGGGGAACTTTACAACTGTGAGAAAAATTAAAAGAATTCTATGTTCATAGTGGTTAATAATATTTAAATCCAACCATCTGAAACCAGTGAAAAAAAAATGATGGACTTCAATTTTATGAAAAGTACAGGACTGAAAACCGAGCTTACACATAACAAGTATTCTGATGTGTACAAGAAATTTAATGTACATCAACAAAGTCAGAAACATCAACAAATGGTGAAAACAATTTTATTCATTTTTGATAACACTGTTGTCTAGTAAGACTTAAAATCCATATCATATATCAAGATACCCCAATGGGTCGTGTAAAATTAAAGGACTAATCACTAATCTTAATTGTGCAAATACATTCTTAAGGAGATGAAAGGTTTAAATGAACAATGGGTTAACACGCTGGCTAAAATTTCTGCAGTTGTGGGTTCAGATCTTACATGCCTCAGCATTCCTTGATCAGTTCAACACCTTTTGATGTTTGTGTGTGTTAAGCTTGATGTAAAAAGAAGGAAAAGTAATGTTTGATCAAATCTGGACATGCATAATGTTTTAATTGTTTTTTATTCTTGCAAGGTTTAAGTACTTTTAATAACAACAACAATAATAAAAGTAAGTTATCAATGAGGAGTTGGTAAAGCCCATAGTATGAGCTAAAGAAAAAAGATGAATTCACAACTGAACTTAATTGATACCAACCAGATTAGAAAAAGAATGAAAATGTTTGCCACGTGTATTGATACATGCAAAGATTTTCACTTGTGTTAATTAAGTATGAAAAAATATATATATATTTATAAATAAATCTATAGATTGTCTCTAGGTGACATAAATAATGAACAGATCAAAGCTCAAATGTAATTCTAAATAAGTTTTAAATTCAATATGAATCAGTTATACCATACAGTTACTTAGTAATGTTTAAAGAAATAAATGTGGAAAATAAGATTAAACTAACATGGCATCAATTACACTAACGTTGAAAATCAACTCTTCTTTGATGCTACATGCTATAATTACACAGTATTTTCACTAAAAACTCAAACAAATATGTTAAAGTTAAATATAATATGGAAATAAATGTTTACAGGAATAAAAAGTAATTGGTATTATTGATTACTTGTCATAATAATATATTTCTTAATACAAGTTTAAGAAGGGAAAAAAAAGAGAGACAAAACTTTTGGTTAAAAACACTCAATGAAATTTAAGTTCAAATGTGCAAAAAAAATAATAATGATAAACAATTAAAACTCAGGTAAGTCCTTATAGCATTCCATGGAATAAAACTGCTTTTAACCTTTGCCTCTGTTCATGTTACAGGTGGCACAACTTACCATAGCAAAAACTATAGTACATCGGAGGGACAACAAACTTGCTTAAAATTTCTACAATTGTAAAGTAGGAATTTAATATCATGTTACAGAAAGTCATTCACTTATTTCCAGTAAATAAAATATTGGTAGGTTTAGATCAGAAAACGTACAAATCTAAAGCTACATGTAACAAATGTACTCCCAATAAACTGCTCAACTTTTTTCTTCCATTATTAAATTTATTTATGATAATTCTTCCTGAATAATGTTAATATGGAAGAAAAAACACATAGATATACATAGAATAAAACTTGGAATTACATCTCTTTTAGCATAGAGGTTAACTTTGCATGATTCATAAAAAAATGGAACCTTTCCAGAATCATCAAGCACACAGTTACAAGAATGAAAACCATTTAACAGTATTAAAGTAAAGGTTTCTTCTTAATGATAAAGACATATTTTTTTCTCTACAAGTGCAAAATATTTTCTTTTCAATGTTTAAAACTACAGAATGTGCAATTACATAATTCATTTTCCTTGCTAACATTATCAGTATATTTGTTACCCTCTCTTTAAAGTATAGCCACACTATACCTTTGTTATTACAATTTTTATTTTTTCAGAGAGACTAGTACAAAAAGATGAAAGATGCTTGAATCAATTGCACTAACATACTTAATGACAATTGTTTTCTCATATATTTAATAAAATGTCAGAAAAGATAAAAATACACGGACTATAAATCACAATCAATCTAAATATGAGGATTTAAAACATGTGACCACTGTCATAAAACTTTATTAAAAAAAGGACAAATTATGAGTTCAATAATACAGACTGAATGAAATAAAATTATAATAGTGACCTATTATTACAAACTATCTTCTAGGACTATCTAGTCTATCACTTCTGTAGATTCTTGATAAAGCAGCCCAAGAATGGTTGGATCTGGGAGAATGAGAAATGCTTCTGGACCTCAAACAAGACTGTAAGTAATAAGGAGAAAGAGATTTTGATCTTGATTTTGATTTGTAGGACCAAGAGCTAAGGCTACTAGGAGTTAGTGGTGATGGTCGATGATAGGGTACTGGACACTTACGAGCACTGCAACATTGAAGGAAAAAGTAACAAAAATATTTAGAACTAACTATGCCAAGCTTCCTCTGAAACTCCTAACAAACTCATAACAGATCCTTTAAACTTCATACCATAAAAATATAAATTCAATATACGAGTATTAGTTAGACATAAAAATAACCTAGAATTAATTTTGGGCTTTATTCTAATAAACCAATGAAAAGACAAATTAAATCTTTAGTTACCAAATCACAGTGACTCAAGACATATTAGTTTTAAAAACACAGCTAAAGAAAAAAAACTTTTCATTTCGTTGGTTATTAAGGGTGGTAAGCAAACTTGAACGTTTGAATCCTGCCCAGTATTAATTTCCACTTTTTTCAGAAATATTCTAACTTAAAAGCATGATATGTCACCCCTAAAATTTCTATAGTCTAACACTAACTTTTATCAATCCTTAGAAATCAAGTAATCTTGATTTAGAACAAAAGATATTGGAGTAAAGATATCATGAATTAACCAATATATTACAGGAAAGGTATTTTAATTATAATTCAAAAAATTTATTGAAGCCTTGGAAGAGACTAGGAAAAGACTCTTGAAACAAAACAGCAGGAAAAAGGAAATTCAGACTTTAACCAGGGATAAATTGAGAAAATTCATCTTTTGGAAAGTGGTGGGACTTTATAACAAAAACTATATTTATAGTTTTGACATTATTGTTTTAGTTGAAATGTGGGTTGGGAAGAAATGGGAATCAACATGGGCAAAACAACTAAATGATGGATATGAATGGTATTTTAAGGAAGCTGTTAAAGAAACAATGTGAGGGAGAGCAAAAGGTGGACAACTGGTCTCCATTAATCTCCTGCAAATCATGGAAGTTAGGACTTACAATAAGAAATTCCCACAAGCATGATAAATGAAGAATAATTAGTGTGTATAACAATCTTGGGAGGGAAGAACTTTTGACCAACTTTCTAAGGACTTGGATAACAATTACATGGAGGATGAGTATATTATTTTAATTGGAGACTTCAAGAGTAAAAAGTGGTAATGAACAACAAATGGATTTGGAGATCGAAGAATTAGAAGAGGGATGGACCTTAATGAGGAATTCTGAATATGAAATCTCCAGTATTGAGAGGAAAAAAAGCTGATGGGTTAGTGCAACAATGATGGATGTGTAATTTTGAATGAATGAGTCAAAGGGAAGCTGACCTACATTGGAAATGGAAGAGGCTCGGTCATTGACTATGTCATTGCAAAGAATGACACACAAAATTATATTATGGGAATGTATATTGCTGAAAGAATTGATTCTGACCATCTACCAATTGAAGTGAGGTTGAAAGATGAAACATGACATAAGGAGGAATAGATTCTTATGACTCAGTGGTACTATAAATGGAACCCAACTAAAAGATAGAGTTCATAGTTAACGTGGAACACAATTGGTGGAAAACAAAAAATAAGAGAGATGAGAAGAGGAGATTACAGGTCCTCAATGAAATTTTTAAGAATACTGCCAAGGAAATTAAGACAAAACATAAGACAAAAACTAAAAGAAAGCAATATGAGGATAACGAATACAAGCACATGAAGAGACTGGTGAAAAGATTACTGAGACAATTTAGGAAAATAAAGAAAGAAGTTCACAGGACCCACTATATTATAGAGAGAAGAAATCCGATGAAGAAATAAATATTGGGAAATGCAAAATTAGAAGAAAGAAAAGATTTGGAAGGAAATCAAGAAGAGTAAGGGCAGTAAATTCTTCTGGCAACATGTTAATAAGTTCAGAAAGCAACCTAAGAAGCAAGAGGTTAAAATAACTACACACCAATGGAGATAATACTTTGTGCAATTATTAGAACAAGAAGAAACAAGTTGCAACAACTGGTGGCGAGAACTCTAACACAAAGTGTTACCAATTGAAAATAATGAACTAGATGCTGAATTTGAACAAGAAGAATTGACTATGTCAATTAAGAAACTGAAGAATGGCAAGACGCTAGGTGAAAACATGGAAATCAAAACATTTTATAAGGTGGTTAACAAATGCAAATACTTAGGAGTTTGGTATTCTGTAAAACTATTCATATGGAACACATTAAGCAATAAAGTGGATAGGCTGAAAGGATCATCAATACTGCATGGAGTTTAATGAGGAAAAGTGGGATACAAGAGTGGAGTACAAAGATATATCTTTTTAAAAGTTTGATTCAGAATTTTTTGTTGTATGGATTGGAAGCTTGGGGCTGGAATGTTAACGAAGAGCTTGAAAAATGCAAAAGAAAATATATGAAGAGGATTTTAAGTTTAGAAAGAAATACACCTGATTGCTTGTGGAAAATGGAAGCAGGAGAGAGACAAGTATGGATTATGAAGCAGTCAGAAAGAGTGTCAAATATATTATTACAATTTAGAAAATGACAGAAGACAGATACCCAAAGATTTGCTTGAAAGAGATGATGAAATTAACAGACCATATCAAACTACCTAAATGGCTTACTTGCTTTATCAAGCAGCTGTTTTAAGGTTGCAAGTGGTGAAATCATTCAACTCATGAAGGAAGAAGCCCCAATGGAGGAAATCTTGAGAGCATTACAAGAGATGCTTCAGAAAACACTTGAACAAGAAATCCAAGTAATGTGGACTGAATTGATAATTCAACATATTGTGACTTTTATAAGGATATTAAGAAGTCAATTGGAAGGGAGAATATTTTAGCATATAAAAAATGAAGTAATGAATTATTTTATGGAAGAATGGAACAAACCCTCTTTCTAAGAAATTGTAAGTTTTGTAGAATAAAAAAATCTGAATTAAAAAAATACTAATTTGTTAATTATAATTAATGAAATAAATGCTATAATAACAATGTGAAAGCAGTTTTAAATTAATTTTTTTAATAGATATACCTATTCTTTTCAATTATGATCAAAACATGTCTTTTTTATCACTGTTGTTTGTTTAAAGTTGTGATATTAAAAATCATTGTTTGAAAGTTATCACTGTAAAAAATTAGCACATACACAGAAGCATTAAGATGAAAAACCTGAAAAAATAATTTAATGGTACTTGTGATTCAGTTTATTTTATGATGTATCATAATGTGAAACCATAAACAATCATAACAATATTAAAAGATTAAATGCTTTTCATAAACCTTAGTGTAAAAATTAGACTCAAACTTGTATCTATCCTAGTCATCACCACCCACTGCCAACTCTTGGGGTACTCTTTTACCAATGAATAGTGGGATTGACCATCACATTATAATGCTCCCACTGCTGAAAGGGTGAGCATGTTTGGTGTGACGGGGATTCAAACCCGCGACCCTCAGATTGCGAGTCGAGCGCCCTAACCACCTGGCTATGCCGGGCCAGAAGTTATTGATAATATAAAATATATTTTGTGTATATAAATGGTATGTGATCATTTCTTCAGTTCTAATATTATTAGCACTACTGATAGTTCTCATGGAGTTTAAATATTTTAAAGAAATTAATATTGCACATTACATCATTATCACCCATTATATTTATATAGCACTCATTATGGTGATATTTAATCTTTCTTTAAAATTTAGTTTCTTTTTTCTCTATCTTTCTTTTATAGACTTTAGTACTGAAAATTATTTAATTCTTAACTGACATCAACTATCAAAATGTTTTATTGGTTAACTGTTATACTTGGTAGAAGTTCATATGTTAATACTGTAAATAGAACACATGATTTTTACACCCAATCTTCACACTCACACACACATTGTAGATATAAAACGAAAATAAACCAATGTGAAAAAAAAACAACAACTGTAAATAGATAATGAATTACCTGTATGAAACTCATACCTAGCTGTAAGGGCTCAACTGAAAATCAAAACAATAAAAAAGTACTCAAAAAACTATAAAACAAAGCATAATGGTGCCAATCAATACCAAAAAAAGAAATATTGAATTTGAAGTTAATTATCAAATAAAAAGTTTTGATTGACAGATTTTATCATTACAAAGATAAAGTAAAATCAACATGTATTTATGGACTATCATTATCAAAACAAACTAAAAGTTTCATAACCATGTGAAAATAAATAAAAAGTATGGAAAAAATGTGTGAAAATACTATTTTCTCTAGAAGTTAATGAATTATAATATCTAACCCTAACAATTATATTTAAGTTTTAGTTATTTGGTAGGAGCAACAAAGTGCATTTTATTTCATGCTGAAGCCACTGATTCCATCCAGAACAAATACACATGATCAATTGTCATTAGGACTATTCTCTCTTGCTGATTTTACTGAACAGAACTATTTAATTGATTGATTTCTACCTTACATAAAGTCTAAAAAGGAAAAAATAAAACTGAACATAAGCTTCAAAACTGTATGCAATATAAGTTTGTCAAAAGCTCAAAGGAAACACCTTCTGAGACTAGTAAGCAGGTTTAGCACAGATAAAAAATGGAGCTTGAACTTTTGTTTAATGTAAAAACATAACATGATAACCAGCAAGTTTAGCATGCGATATGGATGAAGAAGTAAATTTTACACTCAAAGTGTTCCATATTTTATGTGGATGATTTCTTTATTACCAAGTAAAACAATCCTACATGGGGAAAGAAAACTAAAGACGAATTTGTAGAGAGTAGGTTATTTGGCAAAAAGAAACTAGAGCAATTGAATAAGAGCAATGTCTAATAAATAAAAAATTCTTAGCTAGAAAGTCCAATTATTTCAAATAAGCAGATGCTAATGATCATGAGATTCTCAAATACAATTTTAAGCATATTCTTTAAAGATTTTTGATGTACACAGTTTTGTATTAGTTCTATTCAGTGCAAAAAGTATTTTCAATCTTCTTATACCATATTTTAGTAGCTCCTGATGAATGATCAAGTTTATTTACATGTTTGTGAAAGAAAGATTTGCAAGACCAACATACGCTACTCATACAAATTAAAGGATAATTAGGTTTGTTTAAATTTGTATATTTTAGGTTATCAATTGTTTTCAAGTTTAGCATGCTTGCTGTAGAGGATTACACTAATCTTACCTATGGTTCACAAGTTTATGCACCAATGATTCCTTATTTAATGGCCTTTGCGAGATATGACCCAAATTCTTAAAATCAAAAGGCTAGTTTTGATTGAGTAATAAATGTGTTTACTGTTGATTTGAGATAATACTAGATTTATGGATTTTTTTCTTTTTTGCTGTTATTAAATTTTGCAAATGGTGTACAAGTTATTAGAAACCAATTAAGTTTCTAGAAATGTCTCACTGCTATAGGAGAGCCACATCCAGGCTGAAGTGGCACAGGTCACAATTTATGGTCAGTAGATTGTGGTGCAGATATCAGGACACATGAGAACATACCAAGAGGTCAGGCCAGAGTCACAAAAAGGCTACAGGGATAGTAGATGACCAATGTCTGTGGAATTTGGCCCTTAGAAACTGCACAAGCAGTGCTAGGGGCCTCAGGAATGAGATTCAGTAAGCTATAGAAATGTGTGTATTAGTCTCAAGAGTCAGGAACAGGCTCCACGAGGCTGGGCTCAAGTCCAGGATACCAGTTAGATCCCTTCTTCTAACCAAACAGCCCAGTTAGCATCCCAGGAATATGTCACCTGAGCCCACTATGATGGACCTCTGTACTATTCACAGACAAGAGCAGGTATCTTCAAATGATTGACGTGTGAGGGTCTGGAGATGTGAAGGGGAGTGATATTCAGCCTGTAACATTGTCTACTATGATGTCTTTGGGGGATGGTTCAATTATGGTCTGGAAGCACAAAAATACAGACCTCTAAGTGATGTATGAAGGACCCCTGACAACAACATGTTACATGGATGAGATCCTGCTACCCATTCTTCATCCTTTCACTGGTGCTGTCAGAGGTGAGTTCATGTATCACCAGGGTAATGCCTGTCCTCACACTGCCACAATCATGCAGCAATATTTTCAGGGTGAAGGAATAGAGGTACTGGACTGGCCTGCTAAGTCACTGGAACTAAATCCAACTGAGCATGTGTGATACTTGCTAGGGAAAGCAGTTAAGAGACAGACAACCTGTTCCTGTGATTGTATGCCCTCATCAAGGAGTGAGTGGACTGTGCTGCCTTAAGAAAATCATCCAAAATCTCATCAGCAGTATAAGTAGCAGGTGCAGAGAAGTCACAAGCAATAGAATAGGGCCCAGAAGCTAATAAAGACTAATTTTTTTGTAAAGTTTATTTATTTTGATACATTATTTTTGCTTTGATAGTTATGCAGCCAAATATTGGCATTATTTGTTAATTTGGCTTTTTTTTGTTATTTGTACATGAAATTTTAGACTTACATGGTATTGTTTACCTCTAATACTTGTAATAAACAAGTTTTGTCACTACTGAATGTCTCTCTGTGTTTTTTCTTCAAATTTTGAAAAAAACATATCAAAACCCCATTTTCCTTTAATTTTTGTGAATAGTGTACTTGGATCTCACTAATGTTGATTATGAAAGTGGTAATGGTTAGCTTTTCTTTTGGGACTGTTTCTGTCTGGCATAATGTGTGAGCAGGAATAATGATGGTGATGTGTCCTGGATTTGCTTCTGATCCTGTACCTGTGAATAATAACCCCTTAATGACTATTATTCTATAAGAGCAAACGTAGTAAAAAAATATATATATATAAATAAGAAAAAAAAACTTTTCTAAAGATGGCATTTCAAGTAATTGATCATGGCTCGGACCTTAAGAATAAAGTGAAGTAGAGGGCAGGGATAAAGGAAGAGGTTCTTCTAAGAAGTTTGCAAATCTACTGAAAATATAATAGGTGAAGGGTGCACTCTGTGAGAAGGAGATAATTAGCTCAAGAAAGAGAGTTGGCTAAAATGTTCATGAGACAAAGAACATGACAGGCTCAAAGTTGAACATGTTAAGAATGAAGCCAAAGAAATTGAAACTCTGCAGCAAAATAAAGGCTGCAAGAATGAGTACCATCCTGATTGTTAATGTAAGTTACTACAGCAGGGTTGTCTATTTTAACTAACACAGAATGGTGGTGAAGTTGCACAAGTTCAAGACAAGCATGTTGGACAGCCCAATGTCCTACCATGTTGATTTGAGCTCTTGCTTCTTCAAGAATCCAAGAACCAGAGGAATACTGATTCCCAAATACAGCATTCCAACCCGTGAGAGAGGTACCTGTGAAACTAAAAATGTCAAAAGAAAGAGGAAGAAAAGGAGTTCTTGCTGTTTTGAACTATTGATTCAATTGAAACAGAGAAACTCACATGATGGCTGAATGAGTGACACTGCATAATATCAGATAATATCAGGTGTGAAATCAGACACCACTAAGAAGCGAGGTCCCAATGTAGGTGACAAATGTGAGCATGCCCCAAGGAAATGACTTTGTGAAGTGAAGCCATAATCCTGTTAGGAGAAAAGATGTCTTAACAGTAGGTATGGAAGACAGAAGAGTAAGAACGTAAGACTCCAAGACTTGCAACACTATAAAAGAAGGCTGATGTTTTCCTTAACCCTTTGCATACAGCTCAGTTTATTCATCAAAGCTCCAGAATGTTGAAATTATACATACTAGAACTCTGAATTTACTAGGTGTATTTTCATGAAATTTGACAAGCTTTAAGTAAACGTTACAAGTTTTTGTACACAAAAAATCAGAAATGTTAACAAAGTATTTATACTAAAAACTTGTGTATGAATTTTGAAAGCTTTACTGAGTCAATATGAGTTCAAAGTGATTTTCGTGCTAAAAATAAAAATACCTCTTTTCACCTTACAGTTTTCATAGTTAATTTGCATAACTCTAGAACTTCCTTAATGCATATCAAAAGTTTTATTCAGTAAAATGTATCTTTTACCTGTTATTTTCTCTACATTAACAATAACTGCAGGTATATTATTAATTTACATTGAAATGAAAAGGTGAAAATCATGAAATAAAATGAATAATCACTTTTTTCTTCTCTGAAGGCATCACTTGATGCCACATATTCAATTAATGATATTCACAGGTTAAACTGTTAACCTTTTCACAGCTATTTTCTTTTAACTTTATGGTTTTATTACCTGGCTTGTTCCACATAAGCAGTTTCTCCATCTATGAAAAGTAATATGTACATCAAAGCAGGAACACCTTAGCAGTTTCTTGTACACTGATGTACTGCACGGCGTGAAAACTGTACGCTTGAACACATAACTAAATAGGCCTAGACAATCACATTAGTGAAAGTAAAGACAGAACAGAAGCCCCTGTTGAACTCAAGGATCTTGCAGCTAAGGGTCTCACAGATGAACAAATGACCTAAGACAACCCTCAAGAGTGTGGAAGGAGGTGTCATCTGAAACATAAGAGAGTCAATGAGTCAAAGACCCATCTCACCTAATTTGATATTTGGCTATTGAAAGTACAAACAGAAGAAAGAAGCACTGAAAGTAAATTAGACATAAAAGGTACGGCAGTAAGACAAACATCACTCACTGGTTATCTAGAAGCTAGAGACAACCAGAAGTACCTCAAGATGTCAAAACCCAAATCAATCCATGCTGGTGTGCTTCTCCTGAATAGGAAACCAGTTCCAGTGAAATACCTACAAAGACAAAATGATGCAGAAAGGCAGCTGAAATATTGGGAAGAAGATGAACAGCTTGCAATACAGCATGATGGGTTTAAAGTATGTGTCAAAGGAACATAACATCCACATGGTTATAAAAACAATATAAGTGAGACCCACAGTTAATGAAGATTGCAATTTAGATGTTTGGTCCTGATTAAAAGAATCAGAAGAATGAAAAGAGCTGACAGCTAGCAACTGTATACATGGCAGAAAACTGATTATAGGTCAAAGTAGAATACTTCCCCCAAATAACCTATTTGAGGGTCAAGAACTTGAGAATTAATATAAGTAGTGGAAGAGGACCCTATTAAAAGGCCACTCCAATGATGGATAATAGAAATATGAAGGCTATTAATATTTTTTTTGCTTTCTAAAGCATCAGCAACAACTTGAATATCAGGAGTAAATGGAAGAAATAAAGATTCAAGCATTGAATCATCTAACATGACACTAACACCCTTAGGTGTAACAGAAATTGGTTCAAGATTTAAAATAGAACATATTTGATAGAAAATAGAAATGAAAACATCAGAAGCTTTTCCAGGATTAGGGCTAGCAGAAAAATCCTGTTCTGTTTACACTGAAGGTGAATAGGTCTGAGCAGAAGGCCAAATTTTGTCCAAAAACATAAGAAAATGGCAGGTGTTCCACAACTTGAGTGTTCACATGATCATGAAATCTGTCATGGATACCAGCAGGTAATGCAGCATTAACAGTCTGATATGGAACAATAAAGCAGCCACAGGATCACTGTGCACACTAGAGAAAACTGCATGAGAAAGGCCTCCAAAGATGTTCTGATACTTTTGGATATATCTGCATTAAAATTAATGTGGACTTCCAAATTCATTGTAGCAAAGTTAAGAGCATAATTGTCAACAATAAGAAAATCTAGATTATGAGGATAAAGCATAGCTTATATATATATGTCCTCCTGATTCAAGCTCAAAAAGTTACATAAAAGGTGGGAGAATAGAGAATTATGGGTATGTTGGCACATGTTCTGCAGTGTGTTAAGGACATTCAGAGCTTCAGTCAAATGTCTGGTGTTGACAGCATATGAGCAAACAATGGAAGACTTTTTCGAATTTCTGAAGTAAGTCTGCCTATTTTTATTCCTAGTTTCTGATGACCATCATGCAAAGCAGCCCACCTACCTTGTAATGCGACGTTTCTCCAGAAAACTTGGGGAGCCTCTTCGTTTTGGTATAGAAGGACTCCTAGAAATAATTAAATTATTAACTGAGAAAAAGTTGACTTAACAATAAGATACTCTTTTAAATGAGATGAACCTATTCTGTAAAACTTACAATATAATCTTCACAGTGAAAAAAAGTTGATAACATTTAACTGTATGTATGATTTCTCAGTAGGACTTTTTCAAATACTTTACAACTTGAAATACTGGAGTTAATTTTAGCTGTAAGCAAGCCAGATTTGGATTAAATGTTACTTATAGTTTCATTATTTTGTTAGAGGAAAATTATTTTAATTTTTAAGATGTTCACAATAATAGGAGTCTTTTGAAATATTAAACATTTCTTAATTCTTATGTTTGAATTTTTTCACAAAAAAAATTATAAATGATTTACATTCTTAATGCAAAGCTAACTTAATTTCTCCATACATTTCTATTAATTTTGAGAGTTTTGCACTATTTATTCATTTTACATTAATTTTATTCTCAAACTGTTTCACAATAAAAGTTAAAGAAACACTAATACTAGCAGTTTAATTTTCTAATTTTTTTGTTTTAAATAAGATTTAAAATCTGGTTTAATTTTTCTCTTTCTCCATTTTGTGTATGTGTGTGTGTTTAACTATACCTAAACATATTAAGGCAGCAGATTTTCTATGTATGAAGTACAGAAAACTAAAAGCTCTTACAAAATCTCTGTTGGCATTAAGACCAAAACTGTAAATTTAATAATACATTCTTGGAATCATGCTGATATGCAAGTTTCAGATAAAGACTTGAGCCACACACAACTGATATTTATTTTGTACCTTTTTAAGGATTAAATCAATTTTTTGTAAGTTACCAAGTTCATTTCTATACCACATCATAAATAAAGCAGCAGCTCTTCTATAAACTATTTTAATATTTAAAAATTATTTGAATTATTGATTAAAGTGAAATATTTGTTGCCTATTTAAAGTCATGCATAACAACTTCCTTGGCAAGAAGTCATAAAAGGGTTAGTAGTCCTTTCCATTTAGGATAAGTCAATATGACTGACCCACATGTGTTAGCAAAAGTACCTGCCAAAAGTCTGTGCCACCCATCTTTGAATGTTTTTAGCAAAAACGTTTCCCTCCTCACTTTCTTTGCCAAATTATACTTACCTCCTCCTCCACACTGTGTGTTAGTATCCTTCATGTTCTTGTTTTTTTTTGTTGAGACAAGTTTAACAATTTCAAGTTTACAATAAGTCCAATCTTATACATTTTTTAATCATGATATAAATCAAATTATGCACAAGTTACGAGATATTTCATACAAAAAATATAAAAAGACAACTAGTTTTTAGTAGTGAACTGCTTTGATTCAGAAAAACAACTATATGGAAAACCATTTTCTAGACATGGATGTAAACTAATTCGTAAAAATATGAAAAATTACAGGTGTTTCTTTTACTATTCAGCTGGTTATGAAACAAGTAATGATTTTGATATAGTAAAACACGAAGTAAACAAAACATAAATGTTTTTTTTTTTACTTTATTTTCAACAAAAATCCTTGAAAAAATGGTTTTATGGATCTTGGAAGCTTGCTATGACTCAGGGGACTGACTGTAGACCTATCCTAACTATTTGTTATAGCATATTGTTACACTCCTTTTAGATATCTTATACAACTGTTTAAGTTAGGAACTTTAAAATTATATCATTAGTTTCTTAAATAATCTAACTTTTGTCACATTATTTGTTTGTTTGTTTGTTCAGATATTCATGAAAAGATATACTAGAGCTATCTCATCTAACTATCCCCTATTTCTGAGCTGAAAAACTAGAGGAATTTGATCCCCCATGGCCCCAAAGTGAGGAATGTGAATTTTTGGAAACAGGTCACAAGCGACGGCTTCTGGATCTAGAGTCCCATACATTAAAAACTAGGCCCCACACTATTAATTAATAGTGTTGTAGACTGATGAAAGACATCTAAGATTTTCAATGAAAACAACAAACAACTTGAGATAAATGTTTTTTAATTCTACCTGACATGTTTTGTAACCTGTGACATTCAGAGACCTTTGAAATAGGAATAAGATGAAACATCAGGTAGAATAAAAAACATTTATCTGAAGTTGTTTGTCATCTTCAATGAAAATCATTTTCATTCTTCAGTTAGCACTGAAAACTTTAAGATATAACAAAAACATCTAAGATTCTTTTAAAATACTATAAATGAGTAATGACTTGAAAACTGATCTTGTAACTGCTGTAGCATGACAAGTGAGTTAGTATCATGAGAAATATGATTAAAAAACTTGGTAAATTTAGTGAGCTATCTGTACCTACTTTGAACCACATGGTAGGGATTATATTCTATTACTCTACTCAGCAAGTGCTTTTTGGTTTTTAAGGAAGCTAACTCTAAGCTGTATAGTCATTAAATTGATAAAACTAAAAGCAAATTATTAATTAGACCTAGGAAATGAAGCACCTGTTACTGACCTCAGTGAATTTTTTACCCTACAGCTTACCGAGAACTTTTCCTACTAGACCTGCTCCTACTCCTGCTTTGGTGAGTTTCACTTGAACTTCTTGACTGTGTTAGTGGCACAGATCTTCTTGAACAGTTACTATGGTCCCTAAAGTACATAATATCTCAGATTTTTAAATTTTTATCCTTTCCAACATGGGATTTAAGAAAATATAACACATGAAACTAAAAACTAAAGGAATTTTTTTCCTTATTTTACACATATAAAGTTATGTTTACAAGAAAATATAAAGTGTTTAAGATAAACACATGGCAAAAAGATAGAAAAAATATTATTTTTCAGGAACCACAAAGAATAACTGATAATACAATAACACTGAAATATATAAACAAATGTCAGCAAATAATGTAACACACAATAAAAATATCACCACATCATGTTCAGTGGCAACACTACAGGGTGAGGGGCATTTGCCCACCCAAATCTTTTTTTTGCTCTCCCCCCTCAAATTTAATCCTACATATATAGAGCAAATGTAATGTGTATAATAAGAAATGTTCACATGCACTGTACTGTTTTATGTGATTTTGTTTTGTATGCTAGAAGTCAACCAGATATAACCTATAATGATATAACCCTACTTTTTATACTAATGATACTACTTCACTAAATAATTATTTATTTAATCAAATAATGCTCTAAAGAATATTATTCATCAATCCACTTTTAGAGGGACTTGTTATCCCCCCCCAAATGAAATAAAATAAATTGCTAGATATGCTAGAATGGTCAAAAACCTTCTGACCCATTTCAAGGTCTGTGAGTACTTTGGGGCTTCAAAACGCAATACTTTTTGAAACCCAATATAAGTTAGCACACTACAATTTTGGGGAAATAACAAGTCTCTTTAAAATTACACGTGAGTATAAGATGTTTTGTTTTGCTCCCCAAACTTTTGGCTTGCCTCCTTTCCCCACACACACAATTTGTGGTTGCTGGCTGCATGGTAATTAGAAGATTTTTGACAATAAATATCTTTAAAACTTTAGCAACTGCAGTGATTAATCTATTGCAGGTACTTGGGGCAGTATCCAGCTAGATTTCCCAAACCTGTGGCAGTTTTTCTACCTAAAGTAAGAGTAAAATTTCCTCTAAGGGGCTGATCTTTTTTTTCACTCAGCAACGCATATTTTTCCCTCCAATATTAAAATAAACAATGAGATCCTGTTGCTGTAACTAAATTGTATTCTTAACTTCCACAATCATCCTCTTACCTTTTAACTTTTTGAATTTTCTGCAATCATGTTAGTCAACGAAAATAAAGTTTGAAATTCTGAACAAAAGTCAAGGAATAAGCAAAAGAAAACTTTTTGCAGCAATATGCTGGCATAATAAAACAGAAGAAACTGGCTATCTTGGAGTAATGTTAAGTGTTGAAAATCTGGAATCAGTTTGAAACGTGTTTTACAGTTAAAACAACTGTTATTTATATCTATATTTGTACAGTGTATACGTCCTTGAGTCTACAGATGATTTATGTATGTTATGTGTTTATAAAATATTATAGGCACATATTTGATCAAAACTCTACCTCAGAGTTGAAAAATCAAACAATAGTTAACTTTCCAACTGAAAGAAGCTTGGCTGAGGTCTAGATTGCATTTTTTTTCTTGATGTTTAGTAAGGACTGAATTTATCAAATAATGTTCCAGGTCTGGAAGAAACAAACATTCAATGATGAACCAATTTTTATATGATAGATTCATTATACATGTTTCAAAAATGTTTGTAACACTTCTAATTATCATTATTAATTTCAGAAGTAGTATAGTTGATATGTATTGTTTTCTCTTGTTGTTCAAGGCATTAATGTAGAGCAGATACTTGCATAAAAATACTAAGCCTCAGAAATTAGTATGTGTAGGTCTTATGCAATGAGGTAGAGATCAACCAGACAACAGTAATTTACATTTTACTTATAATTAAATAATATGGAAATGAAACAAAACAGTGCTATCTGTACACTTCTGCACTAAGTGATCATATCTTAATTTATTATAAATAAATCACTCCAAAATTCCTTGTTACCGTATTTGTTGGAAAAGTAACTGAGAGAGTATGTCCCTTAGCTGTTATTTACTGTACGAGTTGAATTGATCAACACTTTCTTTATTAAATTTAAAACTTGCAACAGACCTAGTAAAATGTTCCACATTTTGAAAAAAAAAAAGGCTCTTTCCATAACCTGTATATTATAGGGGCACAGGTTGGTTTAGCTGTGGTGAAATTTGTTCAAACATTTGGTACCCTAAAATCAAATTCTTCTGTGAATACTATTTTTGCCAGGACCATTTTATATATCATTGGTATTTAGTATTGAATGCACTAATTTGTATTAATTAATTAAAAAAAAAAAAGAGTTAATCACAACATTAAGTTTGTCTTTACAGATTTATAAACACTGATGTAAATTATTCATTTGTAATTTCTTTGTTGCTGATAACTGCAACAATATAAAATAGTGAAAATAAAAAGGGTATTTTATTTGTTATAGAATATCCTTCACATACGTAGATTTTATTTAATACAAACTGGTTTTTATTGATAATGCAAATCATATACTGAATAAACTATATAGGTAGGTGTAACTATGCAGAATGCATATGAAAAACTGCTGAAGTATGAGCCAACATAAGTTTTTTGGCTTATAAAAAATAATGATTCATGAGGGTTATAACTAGCAAATTTAGGCTATATTTTTTCTTGGTCTGACAAATGGAACTCTTATTTCCAGCAGGAGAATGAGGTTCATTTGGACCCTCTGAACCTCCAAACCTATGCTTTTTTCTTAATCACTGAACTGTATAATTTTTTTCAGACACAGTAATAAGAGCTCTATTAAATATAACAGGCTTTCCAATCTTAAAAATGACTAATTACAACATTCACATTACTAGAAGAAGAATCTTTTTAAAGAAAGAAAGCTATAATTCACTATTTTAAATCAATAAAAATATTCCAAATAAACTATATGAATAGCTATTAGTTCTCACTGATTCATATGTCCAAATATGCTCAGTTTCAATGCACTTATATTTTGGCTTACCTTCGAGAGAATGATGTTCTTGACTTTGAATGGGCAGAAGAATGGTGTGATTCTGAACTTGATCTAGATTGCAAGGTGGACTGAAATAATGACTTGGAATGTCTTTTCTTTTGAGCTTTTGGGCTTTGTGACACTGTTTGTTGACTCCTGTATTCTTCAGAACCAGATTTTGAAAATTTCTTTGCATTCTGTGCTAATGCTTGTAATGATGATGAAGGCAATGAGGATGAACAGTCAAGTCCATCAATTTTCCCAATATGATTAATGCTGTGAGATTTGTGATACTTGATTACCTCTTGAGCATATGGATAGGTTTCTTTTCTATCTTCTATACGAAATGGGTCTTTGATTTTCCTCACAGATATATAATCAGTCTCTCCTTTTCTGTAGTCAAACTTGTAATCAGACTGTGGTGATTTAATGCTGTAATTCTTTAGTCTCTCAGCCTTCTTCTCCCCTTGTTCTGGAAGTGATGATCGAGAAGTTTCATCCTGGTATCTATTTCTTTTTCTTCTACATCAAAATAATTTGAAAAATGTTAAATTATGAAAACTATGGTGAACACTGTCACACAAAACTCTTAAAAAATCCTAACTTTTGTGATACATATTTTAATTTTTAACATGCAAAATTTTATTATTTTGTTTTACATATTGTTATGCTTCAATTATAGTGGAATTGAAAATTTTCTATAAAAATGTTTTTGAAGAAACTACATTTTAAATTACAAAATTTTTTAATGATATTGTTGCGTCAGCGAGTCACATGACCACCGTGACGCAACGTTTCTAGAACTATCATGTACTTTGGCGAATGTTCAAGTTCTTACTAGAAATAGGGTACGCTGGTATATAAAAGAGGGGAATGTAATGTGTGAGGAGACAGTGAGTAATTGAACTGCAGTCAGAGAGAGACGTATTGTTGTAGTTAACGTTCGTTTGTTATTATAGTTTGTTATAACGCGACTGTTGAGAATAAGTGTATCGGTAAAGCTATATTCGGAAAGAATAAACCAGTTTTATTAAGTAAAGACTTGTGTCGTTAAAGTTTCGTTGGAACAAAGTTACGGAAAGTTAATTAACAAACGGAGACGTAACAATACTCTCTGACTGCAGATCAATTACTCACTGTCTACACACACATACATTGTTTCGTCACGTTGTCACCCTCTTATATATATATATACCAGACTACTCTATATCTAGTAATCTCCCGACAATTCACGAAGGTACAAGATATTTCCAGAAAGCAGGGGGCGTGACACTAGTCACGTGACCTCGCTGACGCAACAATATTACAGCAACCTGTTTCTGATATCGTGTAAACACATGTCAAACTAGGAACTGAGTCTCCACTAACTCCTTCTGCATTACTTTTTTTTCCTTCTGGTAATCATTATTCTTTTTTGAAGTTGTCTCTTCATCATCACTTGTATCTCCTTTCTATGGGAAAATGTTTTCACAAAAGATATCTTTCAACGAGTACTTTTTTTTTTTTTTGCTCATTGTTATCCTTAGTTCTTTTTTATCTCTTATTCGTGTCCTTTAAAGTTGAGCTTTCAATTAAGATATTTCTCGCAGACAATTTACATATATACAAGAAGGTGCTGGTTTTCTGAAGTTACTGCCAAATTTATGCTTCTAGTATAAAAACTAAGAATGAATGTTTTCATCAGTTACTTCCCAAATCATTTCATGAATATTTAATAATTTGCTACATGTCATAATGAATAATAATGCTGTAATATGTTCAATCCTTGGACGGGTTCATTAGGATTATTTCATAAAAACAATGAGAAAGCCAGTCCACGCAACAATAACAATTTATTTCATCAGTGAGGTTTTATAAGGCTACATTCACTAATGGGTCTAACTTCAAAACAACGTTCCAACTGAACAAATGTACGCCTAATTTGCAAATAAATTTATTCAAACACTTACTTGCAAAAATTCCTCACTAGTCAATCAATAACAAACGTTATAACTGACTAACTAACTCAATTACTGACACTGAACCGCTCAATTAATTCAGGTGTTATCTTTTATAGTAGTTTTCTAAGTACTGCAAGAAGCTTCGAGATTCCACAGAAGCCTATAATTTCATGAAGTTTCTAGATTTCGCCCATCATTTTATCATGTAAAAAAGTCCCTTTATTGAATAAAAAGTAGCCCAAAACAATAATTGAAATATTTCTAATCAATCAACTTCACCGTCATCAGTGACGAAGAGCAGTTATGACTCACTCACAACTCGAAACTGACGCTCATCATTGCTGTTATTATTATTTCGTTAAAAGCAACTTTATAGACGACATGTGCTGTTGAATGGTTGCTCTCCTTCTAGTCAGCATTTCTAAATTAGGGCTAGTTATGCCTAAACCTTAAGATTTCCGACCTTATGTTATAGAATATAATTATATTATTGCACATAAAAAATAAACGTAATATTCAACATTAAATGAAATAAACATTTTGCATTCAGGCTTTGGAACTATCATTTTATTAGGAACTATACCTGATAACGAGTTGGGCCACTTTTTGCCTGGAGGTTTTTCTTCATTCAGTCATTGACGTTGTACAAAATTCATGCAATGAGGTAGGCAAATTATAGTGATAGCAAACGTATCTTTCAATCTCTTCCCACAGACGCTCAGTTGGATTGAGAGCCGGGGATCATGGTGAATATGAAAAATATTTGAAATATTCATGTTTCTTAAACCATGCAAACACAACTTGGGCACAGTGGATGGGAGCATTGGTGTATTGGAAGTAACTGTCTCAGTCATGGCACCTATAAAGCATCGCTGTATACACTTGATCAGAAATAAGCTGTGTCATTCATTATGTCTACTAAGAGGCCAAGGAGCCCAGAATATGGCAGGAAAACATACCCCAAACCTTAATTCCATCACACAAGAGGGCGAGTTTTTCAAATCTGTCTTTCCCCCAATTGTGCAAAAAAATGGTAAAACGTGATTCATTGTACCACATCACCAGCCATTATTAGTCTAATGTCTATGCTCTTTACATCACTCAAGGATTTTGTTCTTGTTGATAACCGAGACCAATGGTCTCCTACTGACATAGTCCATTTATTGCAATGGTCTTCATAAGGTACAGCTGGAAATGGGTGTGAATTGCCCTTCACTGAATGTCTGTCAGTTTGGGTATTATTTTATGATGGTTGAACTTAACTATTCTGTCTAACCACCTTTTTTCTTCTTTCGTCATTGCATGTTTGTAGCCGCAATTTCTCCTCACAACAGACATGTTATTCAGTGTTTTTCATAGCTAATAAACTCGAATGACGATTACCTATGAAAATGTCCTGGCCTCTATGGCGCCTGCTAGACGTGCACCGACGGTTATGGCTGTTTTGAACGCTACAATATCTTTACCTTTCCTCATATTCTTTATATTGACTTCAACTGTTCCAGTCATTTATAGAGATCATCCGACACATCATGTGATGAATCTAATTTGCATCTAAAGCTCAGGTCAAGCCCAAGTCTGAAAGGGTATGAAGTTCCTAACAATGTGGGCAAACGCTGTGTAAAAAAGTGTTAATAAACTCTTTAGTCACTCCATAACCTAAAGGTTGATGCTTTACCTTTTCTATTCCTATGTACTAGAAACAATCATAAAGATGTTGCTTTTATATGATCACGTCTATGAAGCTAGGACTTTATATTTTGACTGCATCACCAAAAAACTAAATAAAGTATAAACAAATTATTCGACAAAAATTTTAAGTCTTGAAAGCCTTTACTTCTTCTGTCCACTTCCAGTGGATATGCGTTTGTGAACTCTGAACTATACATTTGAATCTAAAATTACAAAAATTTGACAGAGTCCTTTTTTTTCAATTTTGTATAATAGCTCTGTCCTTTCTACTTTTATTTAAATAAAAGCTTCTACACCTAACTTTCTAAAACACTGCACTTCTTTCGGATATGTAGAAAGTTGGTGAATGTTACTTTTAGTTTTAGATTCATAGCATCAGCAACCGTCAACTGAAATCACTGTGTCACGAACAAAGGAGCTCAGGGCTTTCAGAAGAATATTTATTATTTGTGGCATGGGTGGTGTCAGCATCTCCAGCCATTTAATCGTATCTAAATCTTCTGCAGGTAAGGGTATTTTTGTTTTCAAATATTTATGTCAAGGTACTTACGGGCTATCAAGACTAACCATCTCTAATTTGGAACTGATAAACTAGAGGGAAGGTAGCTAGTAAAGATCACCCACCATCAACTTTGGGGCTACTCTTGTCTGAACAAATACTAGGATTTGACTATCACCCTTATAACATACCTATAGTCCCAAAGTGTGCAGAGTATCTTTTTTTTTTTTTGGATCCACAGATTCATAGTTTGACACGCTAACCACTGGGCCAAGCTTAGCCCAGTAATGATGGATCATACAATATTCTAATATGCAATATCAGACTGACTGCTCAAAATGAATCACTCCTTGATCCACGCAAACTCTTATATATGTTGTAAGTGAGCCCCACACCTGGTATTAAATTAATCCCACAGGACTTTAATGGTAATTTAGGACTGCAAGCCAGTAACATCCATTACTTTCAAAGAACATTGTGCAGCTATATTTCAGAAACAAGGTGCAGTTTGTAAATGTCCCATCATAGTTTGGAATCCAAAGCAGCAACTTTCACAGTCCAGAAACTGTGGTGAAGAATAGTAGAATAAAATCTCGTGGAACAATGAATTCCACTGTTTCATATCCGTGAATAAACAGATATAGGTTTGACGTTGATCCAGAAGAGTTATTTTTGACATGACTGTGTTGGCTCTCGATGAAGAATAAATGGCAAAAGTAACATTGTGATGCAGACCTGTTTTACCAGTTTCGAGTCAAGCCATGACTATCATATTGCATTGTGACATTCTTGACATTACTAAACTGCTGGGAATTGATGGAGTTTTATAGGGAAATACCATATGTCTTTTAGCATGACAATGTATCATACTATGTCCAGAAGTCTGTTGAGAAAAGTTACGTTCTAAAGATGCCTTCCATGAACTGAAATGCAATTGAACTTTCTTATGATGATTTAGAATTCAACAATAGAATTGGCAGCAGATGATTAATGTAAAGGTGTACGTTAGAGGAGTGACAGTATTAGTTAATAGCCGAGGCTTCCCTTCCTCCACACTAAATGCATGTAGTCTTTTTGCAGCACGTGTCTTTGAAATGATTAACAAAAGTATGATGAATTCGGATGGAACGTGACTTGTTAATAAGAGACATATGGAAACAATATATTTGAAATACTGCATATAAATCTCGCTGTCCACTTTTGCAATATGTATTCATGTGTTGGAACCAGGAAGGTTCATTAATTTGACTTTTTAGTCAGTAAGTAGGAATATTGGTCTATCAGTTTTATGTGATTTTCATCACAAACGTTAGGCCTATTTGTTCCTAATGCTTCGCCAGCTTTCGTCGTTTTAAACAGTAACTTTTAAAATATTGGTCTGTTTTCCATTT